ATTGCATTAATTTAATGGCGCTGTTACACACAAACTCGATTGAAAGCGGGAAAGTGTTGTTTTTCCCCCGGGGATCTCCGAGCTGGCTTCAAACTGAAATAATTTAGAGAGGTACCGCCTGCAGCCGCCAGTGCAGCGCTATGCCTGACCATTGTTTTCAAGGCCCCCAACGTCCCGGCCCCAAAACTCGAGCAGCGGCAATTTCCGCTCCAAATGCTCCGCTCGGCAGGGGAAATTATTAAAAGCGAAAACGGGCGCTATTATTTTCTGACACTGATATATTTGCAGTGGGGCAGTGGAGCGGAGACCTTGGAGCAGTAACCTCCTTTGCGAACTGCTAGAAGCTAGATGCGCTATCGTGGCTGGCGGGGAAGTAATATAAATCGGGCCCTGGGGATAAATAACTCTGTATTAGTTATGACAGTGTGTGTTTGAGAGCTCTTCTCGGGCAACTGCATTGGTTTTTGTTGCCAGTTTGTTTGTTTGCCTGTGGCTTGTGTAATCGGTGGCCGGCATTTCTTTATGGTCGCCATAATTATGCAAATTAATATCCCGCAACTATGCAGCGACAGTGCCGAAAGCCGAGCATGGTCGGCCAAAGAACAAATACGAATTATTTTAATTAAAGTGCACATTGTTTTTTAGCCATCTAAGCAAATTAGTTGTTGACTTTGCGAGTGAAATCGGCGGGCAAATAATAATTAAATACGGAAACAACAGTCACTAATTTAAGATTGTTATTGTGCCAATTAGGTGTTGTTTGTTTCAAATTAAAGGCTGAATATATTAAACATGATTCGATAATTCTCTTCTATTGCAGGGTTCACCTGAAATTCGCAGAGGTCGCCTGGAAACAATTCCACAAATTCCATTCAAGCGAACAACTGAGTCCAAGGTAAGTCAGAATGCACTTGAAATGCATTGGCGCATAAACTAAAATAATAACAAAGGGCCCTGGGGACCTCTAAGCCCCAATTCCCATTCCCAAAGACCAAATATTAGAGAAAAGTGCTAACTTTTGGGGACGACTGTCAGAGGAGATGTGGCATCGGGTTAGTTTATTTTTGCTTTTATTTTTCCTAATGCTCCTAAAAAATGAAAAGCTTTGGCCAAGACAGCGGTGCATTGTTGGCAAAGTGACTGCCACGCCCGGCTGCATATATAAGCGGGTTGGCAAAGAGCTGCCATCCCAGTCATGTTAAATTTTTCAAGCAAATGTCGCGCATTGTTTGACTCGACCTATTCTGTAAGTTATTTCTTTATTTTAAGTCACGCGCTCCACGGAGGACATTTTTTTTTTGACTATTTGCTCTTGTGTTTGACCCACACACAGTGGCACACACACGCATTGCTTCCAAGCGCGACATTTTGCAAATTTTGGCTGGAAAAGCAGGAAACCCTTTCTTTGCGACATGCTTAAGCTCGGGCTTTATGAGGCCACTAAAAAGGGGAAGTGCCGGCACAGGAAGGGGTGCAGCAATATATTAGAGTGTATTTGTGTGCTGTTAGTGCACTGGGAGAAATTTATTATCGGCTTAGCTTGATTGGCAAAGCATAGTCTAGAGACCCTCTTCTCTAAACCCAACCCCAATGAAGTCGGTAAGTCTTTCAGTGCATATCTGCGCTCTTTCTGGTGTTAAGTCAGCTAAAAGCCTTTGGTCCGACCACTTGAATTTTCGGATGCAGCGTAACTTTTTAGAAACGGATGCAAGCTGAATTACAGAAAATAGAACCCGGGGATTTCGGAGCTCCACAAAGCCAGCTGACTGTAGGGGGGCGAACCCAAATACGGGTGGCAAAATATGGGGTGTTCTTCGGGGGGTCAGTGAGCTCGAAAAAGTTTTATGCGAGCGCCAAAAGTGCAGTCAACGCACTTAGGGCAGAGTCTAAAAATATGAGTTGCGAATGGGATTGCTAAATGCGCCAAAGCCTGGCTAGGGACTGGGGTCTGCCATTGGGGACTGGGGATTCCAAAGTTTTCGTTTAAATAAATGTGGCAGCTTAGCCAGAGGCAGCTGGCGCTGGAAATAAATTTCGTAATGAGGCGGGAATTTTCTGAAATTGATTAGAGGCCAGTGGAGAGTCGTCCTTGATGAAGTGAAAGGATGAGTAATTTCAGGAGTTGGCAAACATTTACCCAACCAATAATCTAAATGCTGTTTTTGATACTAGATACATTTCTAAAACAGCAATCCAATTACGGCTGACACTAGTTTTGATTGCATAAATTTAGTCCAGAAAGCCAGACAAAGGCCGGCCCGCAACGAAATCCAATTTAAGACCAATATGTAAACAGTTTATTTTATTATTTCGCATTTCATAGTGTTTTTTGCTGCCGGAGCTGCCTTTGCCGCCTCTTGCAATATTTGGTTAACTTTACAGCTTTGAACCGTGGCTCTTTATTTACCCAACACATTACTACATTTCCTATTCGTCCTGCATTTCCATGTTCTGCCAGAGCTGGAGCTCAACTCCCTCCGCATCGAGGCTCTGTGTTCTGATGCTAAAATGATTTATTACGTAAATTTTATTAATTTGCTGCGCTGTCATAAAAACGACAACGCTGCGCAGAAAGCGGGAAAAAAAGTAGAATAAAATAAATTTGATTTGCTCCTGTATGCATAGTCCTACGTGGGCGGGTGGGTGTGTGCTGTACGTGTGCGTGTTAAACAAATTTTTATGGGCCACCTATGGGTGTACGGCACACACTCCAATGGTATTTATGGCCCGCCGCCAGCGAACTCATTATACGATCTCTCTCCGACTCTGCTCGGAATTGGAATTTTAAAATACTTGTTCATTTTACGCTCGCATGTCGCCTCGTCCTTTTTTCAATGCCAAGAACACATGTTTCGGGCGCTTTGGTTAAGGCTACGTGTCAAAAATTAAAAATGACACCCACTCGTTCCGGGGCGACTTTATCAAGTTATAGGCTCGCTCTTGTCTCTGACTCCTCATGCATATAAATCCGTCCGTAATAGATCGTGTCTAATTTATGAGTAACGCGAGCATTACAACTTATTACATAACACACACACACTCTGGAGGACTCTCACACATGCCTGATTACGTGGGCGCAGTGGGAGCTTTCGCATTTTTTTTCGTGTGTATCTTTTTTGCGTTCTTCTAATTTACGCCTTGCGTGCTCTTGGCCAAGACTCTTGGGCCGGGTCGAGCATTTTCCATTAAGTCTGCAGCTGCCTTACTCATAATTCATGCCACCCACAGGCACACACACGCCGCACACTCACATACTCACACACTCCAGCCAGTAACAGACAGTCACAGATTGGGGCATGTTAATTTGTAGGCCAGTGCAAGCGGAAGTCCTTTTTGAGGTCTTTAAACGCAAATGAAAGGCCCGAAGCTTTTACGGCCTGCCATCAGCCCATGTATCACTTGTGTGGCGGTCTCTGTCTGTGTCACTGTCTCCCTCGCACACTCATCCTGCCACAGTGCGTGTTGCTCTAAATTAGATTTTCATTTGGGTGCCCCGTTGTCCTTTCGTCTTTCGCTATCCCTACAGAGGTTGTGGAGGGATTTTACGATCTGAGAGTAAAACCCTTTTCGAGGATGAAATCAATGCAGGAATTAATTAAACCAGTCGAGTTGAAGCTGTCATAAACGCAACAAAGCAGATTGTTAATTCATTACATGTGGGTTCTACAAATAGTCTCAAGTTTAGTAACAGTTTATAAGTCAAAGAAAGTATTACGAAAATAAAAACTATATAAAGAGATACACTAGAAACTATCTGAAAGTCTTAGAAACTCTCGGAAGGTGCAAAACAATGCCAAACAATTAACTCATTACGGGCGCTCATTAAGTGCCACAAGTTGATTAAAGCCTTCAAAAGTTTGTGCCGAAAAGAATGTTTGACTGGGGCGTGCCACCAATTCAGCCACCCAGCCCACCATGCCCCGAAAACAACCCCAAAACAATTTGCTCCCCGGCGAGACTTGTGACAAGTGAAGTGCCACTCTAAATATGCCCAAGATAAAAATGTTTGCTGGTGTTTGTTGGTGTCCTGGCTGGTGTTCGCCTGTCGCCGAAACTTGGCGATGGCAAACTTCTTAAAAATACTTAAGAAGCGATAAATATCGCCAATACACAGACACATACACTCGGCCCAGCACACGCACGCAGGGCGGCCCTTTTGACTTTTGAAAGTTTGCTCAAGTTGCCTATTTGTTACTCTTCATCGGGGGGTAAAGGACTCACACCCATCCTCCTGGAAGTATAAATACAAACACAAACAAAGAAAAGCCACTTGTTGTCGGCATTCTCATTATCTTTTAACGTTATTATTACATTGCATACTTTCAGGGGGCTTAGCTGTCAGCCATTTCCTTTTTTCTTTGCCCCTCGAACGAATTCCTGCCAGCGTGCCTGGATATTATATTTGTTTTACTTTTGTTTTCATTTCGCCGGCTTTTGCTTATTAAAAAGTTGCCATCGATTATGCGAAAAGTTTGGCATCGTTGGGGGACTGGAAGCCAATTGGTTGCCAAGCGTGCTGCAATTCAATTTGGTCTAAAGTTACTCCAAGACGGCCAAAATAGGAGCTCCAACACGCGCCTCCGAAATCAATACGTCAATGGCAGGCTAATTGGCCAAGGTGTCTGGTTTGGCGACAGTTGTCTGGCTTACTCAAGGGTTTTTAATTGTATGGAAAATCATCAATCAGGACTCTTTGTAGTGACTTCTTCCTGAAGTGACTTCCTTCTGGCCAATGTATCTTTCTCTATCAATTCCCTGAAAGAATCCTACTCTTAGAAAGAAAACCATACTTGATTGATGCCTCAAGGACTTGGAGTCTCCTCCCCATATTTCCCGGGTAAATTGGTAAAGAACTCTCCCCATAATTTGTACATATTTACAAGACCTCATCCACCGCCTCCCCAGACGGCGGCAAACAATGAAATCAATTTAGAATAGACTTTTCAGCACTCTCACATGTCCTCTAAGCCTAATCTCGACTCTCGCCGTCTCTTTGCAGATATTATAGACAAACTAAGCTCAGTCTATTAAGAGGGCAAACAAAGGAATCACCCGAAAAAATAAAAGGCTGAGGAGCCCCCGGAAAAGCAGGAGAATGCGGGCCGGGGAGTAGGGCACACTTTGGAGAAGCACACCCGGCAATGAGAGGGCCGGGAACCGAAACTGTTAGCTGGCAAATCGGATTGCGAATTTGCTGTATTGACACAAGGAAATCGTTAGCCGGCTTAGCCAGCAAGAGGCCAAATTTAAAATTAAAAATATAGCCAGCGACCCGTCCCAGAGCCCAGCACCAGAGTCGGAATCAAAGTGATATGCTAATGCGGGAGCGGACGCGGGAGCAGAGCATCGCGAGTGCCGAGAGTGTGGCATGAATATTTCATGAGCAGTGATGACAATAAGCCGGCTCCAGGAATAAGGCCAAAAGCAGAACCAGCACTCGCAACATGACGGAGCTAAGACGGACTAATGGCCTGCACAAGCAGCATTCTCTTCGAGATCGGCAGGTGCACCCCCTGCTCCACGCCCTCGCCGACCACGGCTGCAATCTGAGCAGCGGCGGCAACAGCGCCGCTAGCACCACCAGCAGCAGCACTGCCACGGCCACCACAGCCCTGGGCGGTGGCGGTAATCCTGGCGGATCAGCAGGCTCTAACGGTAACGGAAACGGTAACGGCATCATGGCCCAAAGGAGCATCGAGTTCGATGAGCACGACATATTCTACGTTTCCCCCTCTAAGCGAAAAGGAGTAGCGCCAGGTGAGATTAAGTATTTTATTTCCAAATTATTAATCATCTAGATTTTAGAATAGCATAATTTATTTTTTGAAAAATGATGTATTATTTATAGAAAAAAAAGTGTCCTGTATTGAATTTGCTCTAAGATATTCGCCGCGACTTAGTCTTGACACCAACAATCTTGAGTTTGCTGCAAAAGAAGATCCGAGTTGAGAAGCATTTTTGAATCTTTTAACTCTAAAATAACTTATTAGAGTGACTTATATAAGCTACAACAATAGTTAGTCAGTAATTTTTGATAAGCCTATTAATAAAATAGAAATAACTCAATAAGCAGCAAGCAAGTTCGCCGTGATAATGGAAACATAGCTCCTGGAAAGCAAGGTTTGATTATTTTTTAAATTAAATTAAATTGTCTTGAATAAGTTTAAAAATTTCTAAACGATAAAAGTAGTATTATGACCAATCATAGTATAGTATTATAGTATAAATGTTTCATGCAAGAATTAGAAACTCTGAATCCTCTCTGAAACTCTGAAAAAGTTCATACCCCACTATGGGGAGAGACGCCATTATTGAGTCGTCTGACTAACCTCGGATTTAGTTTCCACAATTTAAATAGGAATGTATATAATTAAATAGTATTTGTGGTTTATTATTTCGATCAAAGGTAAAATCTTCCAGAACACTTTATGGTTAGAAGGAAAAAAATAGACTGAAAAAGTGTATCCCCCCGGTGGAGACTTAAAACTGATCAAATACTTCTTCCCTCATAGGTGTCTCTGGGAACGTGGTCACCTTCTCGAACTATGTGAGCGAGCAGCGCCTGACCCCCTCTTCCTCGAACCGCGGATCCCTGAAGCGCAGCAAGGGCCGCTCCAACCAGTCGCTCTGCAGCTGCGACGCCGGCGACGAGGCCCAGCTGGAACTGCAGCCGAACGCGACACGGCCCCTGTACGAGTACAGTCTGGAACGCAGGCGTAAGACGCATACCTACTCCTGCGAGCAGAACGCCCAGATCCTCATGAGACTGGAGCGGGAGCGCAATCGTAAATTATCGCTGACTGCCGTGGAGAGCGGCGGCCTGGGACTGGGTTCTGGCGCCGCCGGAGGAGACCCCCAGGTGAGTGAAATCCCGCCCCACTTTGTGTAATTGTAATTGTAATCATGAGCAGCCAGCGGCACGTGCCGCAGCCCCACTTTCGGCTTAGCCAGCCCGTGCAGCAGGCAAATTCGATAAGCAAACAGAGCGTGGCACGTAGCCGGGGAGCACTGGAGGCAGGAACGACTAACAGACTAACAGACTGACTGACACCTGCCACTCCGCCCTCTGGCTTTTGCGGTCGAGCGCTGCCAAGTGGTTCTCCGATTTCGCGGAAACCAGTGAGCAATATGGTGCGCATGAATTTTGATTTTATTGTGCCAGTGGCTTTTCCCAGTAATCGTTGAAATGAATAAACAGAAACGGCAGAAATGTAATAGTCAAGAAGATGGGATATTAAATTAAATTAGAGACAAAATCTCAGCAGAGCCGTTCTGAGCGGCTCAGAACATCAACTGCTAGTGTGTTAGGTCTGATGGGTACCTATTTCGGAACCTATCCGAGTAGGTCGAGCAATGAGACTCTCAATCCTTCTCCTAGTTTAAACAGCCCGCTCTCCCCATTCACAGTCGACTCCCAACGGGCACACTCACAGATCGTAGATCTAGAAAGTTTATTTTTCCCCATTTTTGGGATACAAAAGTTTTTCGATACCAAAATAAATACAACGGAGCGATAAAAGTAATCGGATTATCATGGAAAGAGGATCAAATAGACTGGGAAGTGCGCTGTCTGGCAGCGGCGTTCACTCGAACGTCTCGGTAATCACAAAGCCAAAGCGCAAGAAACAGCGGCTGCCCACCTTCGACCTGTCGCTGGAGCAGAAGATAGACATCAAGAAGGCCTTCGATCTGTTCGACACACAATGCTCCGGGTTTATCGAGACCAAGGAGCTCCGCGTTGCCATACGCGCCTTGGGATTCGAGCCGAAGCAAGAGGAGATCCGTCGCATGATGGATGAGATCGACAAGGACAAGACCGGAAGGATTGCCTTCAATGACTTCCTTTACTTGATGCGTCAGAAAATGGCGGAGAAGGACTCCAAGCAGGACATGGCCAAGGCATTCTCATTTTTTGACGACGATCGAACCGGTAAGATATCGTTCCGGAACCTGAAGAGAGTGGCCAAGGAGCTGGGCGAGAACCTCACCGACGAGGAGCTGCAAGAGATGATCGACGAGGCCGATGCCGACGGCGACGGGGAGGTCAGCAGGGATGAGTTCCTCAACCTAATGAAGAAGACTAATCTGATCTAGGGTCGACTCTCCAGTCCATGCCCACTTACTCACTTTATTATTGTTGCGGGGGAAACGACGTTGTTTTTCTTTCTAAGACATGTAGGTTTACTCGTTCCAGGCACACTACCAGCACATCGCCACTCCAAACTTCATCCAAATGTACACCACCAATGATCTTGAAGAAGTTTGGATATGCTTCGGTTCAATAAAGCAAAAAAATGCAAATGAATGCTGGGTGCAGTGTGTGGAGTCAGTGCCAGTCATGGGTATCGCCGAGTCCAATTATTTTATTCATCATTTTTCCCAAAGCCTGTCACTTTTTGCAGTCTGCCGGCAAAGGCAGCCGCCGTCATGCATAACAAATCTCTTTGACACATTTGATGTATGCCTTTCCAGGGGCTGCAGTGCTCCACTTCCAGTTTGCAGCAAATTGTGGCTGCAGTTTGGCGGCATGCGTGGGTGCTTCCCAACTGCAGCATCCGCCTATCTGCCTCCATCTCGCATTCACTCTTAAACTCTGTATCCTTTTCTGTGCCTCTGCCTGTGCCTGTGCCCAAACGGCAAACATAATTTAGTGGCAGCGTTTCAGGCTTTTATTTGCGCTATGCGTTACATTTAGCTCCATTTAGTTGTTAGGCTCTCCGCCTGACAGTCTGACTCCTGGCTGGCTTTAAATTTTCAACTTTTTGCTGGGTCGGCAGACGGATGGCTGACTGACTTGCCAAATGAACTGACCAGAAATTTATGTGGCTTTTAAGCTCGGCTGAGGGATGGCTGGGAATGCACGAATTGCCGCAATAAAAACCAACTTCAAACAAGTGATCGATTGCCGATAATTTATAGTTCAAAATTAAAACAGACGAGGGCTTTAAATAATATTCAAGTACTTTCCATCTCTGAAATGTTGAGTATTTAAATGATAATTTTCGATGGCATGTGGTCTGCCTTCAGAATGAAAATGTTTATTTTGCAAAAATATTCTATTTGCGGCAGAAACATGCTTCGTTATCACATTTAATATCCCCTAAGTATATAATGACCGCATTTTTAAGTGCTCTCGCCAAAAACAAATTGATTAATGTCTAATAGTCCGGCCTGCATTTATGCGCCACGACGCCCACACATTCTTCACACGCAGTTTTTATGGGCGAACTTGCCACGTTTACAGCCCTAATAATTGGCAACTTTCCTTTTTGGCCAGCTTGCTTTTAAAGCTTCCGACGTCTGCGCCATCAGGGAAACAAAAGACGAAATGGCCCTTGATAAAGTCGTAAAGTTAAAAGCTCTGATGGATAATTACAAATTGGCAGGGAAAGATATTGGGACGAGTTTCGTTCCGGGCGGATGCTGGACGAGGAAAACTAAAACAAACTTGAGTATTTATAAAAGTTTTTGCTTATTGGTTTTGCCAAATCGATTAAAGGCGATTGTATTTTCGGCAGAGCGATAGAGGATAGCCGGAGCAGGACGAACGGACAGCCAAAGTTCCAGTAAAATATAACCAACACTCAATTTTACGAACATTTAACTAAATACCCGAACCCTGAGTGAGGGAAAAGTGAGACGCAGGGAGACGCGTTCGTAAAAAAGTTTTTCGCAAACTACAAAACTGCCATAACTCAACATTACGCTCGACACAGACTCCGGCCCTCCAGAAGACCCCTTTCCCTCCCGAATTCTCTTCTCAAAAATGTTGTAACTATAGCCAGCCAGTTGGGGGAAAGGACGCACTGAGCACACACTCATATAGCTACATAAATTATGGTAAAAAATTGCGCAAAATTGCAGCAAAGTAGACGAAAAATTATTATAAAATGTGCATTATGAAATTTAAAACGAGACAAAGACGCAAAGCATAATTCAAAGGACCGCGCGAGGATGATGCCAAAGAAAGGGGAGACCCGACCCTCCATGCTAAAAAAATGTCCATGCTAAAAAGTAGCTGGGCGAAAAGTCGCGGAGAAAAACTAAGGCGATATATCAAGCAATTTAATGCACAAAAATGCAACCACAAGTCCTCAACCCTCGGATGCTCCACGATTTTTGCTCTGAGCCCCATAAACTTGGCGTCTAATTTGCGGTTTAAACGCCAAATAACCATATACTGTTGCACTCATCTGGCGAATTTATTCCCTTTATAAGCAAGGTGGGAGAGAACGAGGGCAGGGCGAGGTCTGCGTTTAATTAAGGGATAATATTCAGTCAAAGCAGTCTGAGATGTGGCTGCAAGGACTAAAAATTAACAAGCTCAGAATTCTTTGAGTTTGAGAAGAGGGAAACTGCTTAAAAATCAAGCTCATTGGAGTACGAGCCATTAAATACTCACCTCTGATTAGCTCTTTACCTCAAATAGGTAATTGAGAAAACAGAAATCATTTCTATATAATTATCCTTGCCAGGGAGAACCAAAAAATAAAACGTTTTACAAATTGGCACTGTTAAGATATGCAGCCCGCGCCACCGTCGAATATTTGCATAAATTATTTGAGGGTCGAAGAAATAAATAAATTACCAAATGAAAATATGAAAATTTCAATTTCCACTTAGGGAGAGGCCGGCAGGATGCGACAGGACACGACACCGACGTTGAGGAGGCCAGGACAGGACAAGACAAAGTAAATAAAAAATAATCAACAAAGAGACACGGACAACAATAACGAGCCGGGGGCGTCCGGAACCAGCGGGGAGTGGCTACATAAAGCAATCAAAATTCAAAGGAAATTTTTATTAATGGCAATGCGTTTCGCCTCGCCCAGACGCATAAAAATAATTCTACAAAAAAGCCGAGCCCCCGCTCCGGCAAGCAAATCAATGCAAATGTATTTCCCGTAACTGAAATTCAATTTCGAGTCCCAGAGCACCTCCTGCCGATGATTATGATGCCGATGATGACGATGCGGATGCTGACCGTAGCAAATTCAATTAGGGCACTTGGCACGGTCAGGACTAGGCAGGACGTCCAGGACTGGGCAGGGCGGGGATAAACCTTTTTCTTGGCCTTTTTCGCACGTCTTTTATCGGGCGGGTCTAGTGGGAAGTGGGTGGAAGTCTGCTCCGGTGTCTATGGCATAATTAAATTTTATGTAGCCAGGGGGCCGATAGAAGGCCCCACCCCACCCATCCTGCCCACAATCTCTTTTTGCGTTTGCGAATTTCGCCAAGCGATGGGAATGAAAGGACTTTCCAGGATGGGGAAAGTTTTTACGGCATCTGGGGTTAGTTTGAAGACACTTTTCATGAGATATTACAAGGAGTTATGGCAACTGAAGAGATAAATGTGTTTTGTTTCACATTTAGGATTTAATATTTAAAGTTTCCATATGGAGTACTTAAAGCTGCCACAGTCAAAAGTTCGCTCTTTGTGGTGGCACTTCCGCCGGAAGCTGCTCATGTCGACATTGATTTAATACGATTCGCTGGAGCCTTACTTCCTCGCTAATGCTTTGTCTCTTTCGCCCCGCAGAGTGACACGCCCAGCCTGTCGGATGTGGACGTCATCCCGCCAGTGCCCCCGCCGCCGGCGATGAAGCGCAACGGCAGCATGCGCAGCCTGCGACTGCTGCAACATCTGCACCAGCACAGCAGCGGCAGCAGCAGCAGCAACAACAACAACTTGTCGCAGCTGTGCAGTAGCGACCTGCTGCAGGAGTGCACCAAGTCCGCGCTCGACGACTGCACCGCCACGCTGCTCAAGTGCACCACCACCAGCAACCACAGCAGCAGCACCAACAGCAACATGGGCCCCACTTGCAACGGCAACGGCACCAACAACAACCACATCCAGGCCAAGCCCGACCTGTGCCAGCCCCCCGGCCATGCCCACAATCACAGGCACAAGCTACTGCCCGGCAGCGCCACGCCCACTCACCACTCGCACCCACACCCGCCGCCGTTCGCCGCCCACGAAGACGAGATTTTCTCGCCCCACTCAAAGAAGTCGGATCCGAGTCTGTGCTTTGTGGGCGGCGTAGGCGCGGGACCGGGCTTGGCCGGGGCAGGAGGTGCCGGTGGGGGCTCTGGGGGCAATGTATCTTCGAAGTACAACACAATAGGGCCGAGTAGCGATTACGCGAGGCACTTGGCGCACTACAGCCGCTACCTGCAGAAGCAGCACCACCAGCAGCAAATGGCGCACTTCCAGCAGCAGAGATGTCGCTGCTTTTCCCAATCCCTGCTGAACTTTCCGCAGCAGCAGCAACAGCCACCGTCGCAGCCTCAGGCCGCGCAACAACACCAGGTGAGTGGGATCGTTGTGATCCGCGGCGATGTCTTATAATTATGCGAGAACATCCTGAAACCAAACTCGCCTGATTTGTTTATTTTTGTTCCCCTCAGCAGCAGCAGCAGCAGCCGCCACTGGCGCAGCAATCGGCAATCTTTCACACCAGCAGCATGGACTGGACTCTGCCAATTAATAGTCGCAGCTTTGGCAATTTGGTGAACATCGACGGCGGCTGTCGGGTGCCGTACCAGAAAATGCCACACCACCAGACCGCATCCGGAAATCCAGTTTCAGGTGGTGCAGGTTCCAACGGCGGTTTGGGCCTGGCGGCCTCGTCCACTTTCACACTTACCTCCTTCGACAGCGACATTGTGCACGGGCTGAAAGAACGCGAATCGCAGACCTCGTTGCACCATCCCCACTCGCATCCACATCCGCACTCGCACTCCCATCCGCACACGCATCCGCACCACTATCATGGTGGCGGGGGCGACGGCTCGGGGTCCGTGACACCGCAGAAGCATCACCAGCTGCACTCGAGCGTCACGAGCATCATGCCCTGGAAGCACCGCCAGTGCCCCAGCAGGGGATCCTCCAGCTCCGGCACGAACTCGTTCCGTAAGTACCAGTGATTTTTGGCTTAGTAGGATGTGTTTTTTAGAGAAGGGCTACAGAGTGGCTGACCTGATTTTAAAACGAAGAAGTTTTGAAGAGAAAAATGGTTACATAAAAACTCAAATTCTTTCAAAAAAGATTATCCAAAATCTAGTCTTTAAAGTTATTCTGGTCTAATTTCTGCAAATTGTGAACCCTGGACAGCTTGACCTTTCACCACCAAATTGGTCCATTTGGAATATCCATTTAAGACGGTGTTTTATGACATTCGCTGTCGCGTTCTGCATTCCACAACAGTCTGCTTTGGCATTTGGCTGGTAGTACTGCCTCGACGATGTACATGACATTGCACTTAATATTCTGCCACCCGTTCGCCACTGCCGCTGCCGTGCCACGCCCCTGCAACCGGGTAACGCCTCCCTGGGGGGCATTGCCATTTAGTCGTTAGCCGTTTGATTGCGCTTCATGTAACATGGCTGCTAAATGTTAAACGTTGCCAATGCCCGCGTGACTTTGGTCTCATCATCATCAGCGGCAGGACGCTGTCCTCGTCCTCGTCCTCGTCCACGTCATTTCCATCTCCATGTCCGCCCTAATCCTCATCAGCATCCTTGCCGCCATCATCATCAGCATCGTTATCATCAGTCAGACTTCTCATTCCAATCCTCGTGTCTCCTGGCAACTGCAATTCGTTAGCAGTCAAAAACTGCGTAACTGCGGACGATGTCCTGGCCCTCTTAAATTTATGCAAATCGCCAGTGCGGCGCTAGCCACTGGACTTGTTACACAGTTGGAAAAAGAAGCGCACTTCACTCTTCCGCACACTGCACAGAATATAATGTATACTCCGACTCCATGTTCTTGCAGTGCACACATTCCTGGTTCGTGTGACAGCGCACCTCTTCCGCATCCGAGCGCTTCTCGTCCCGGCTGCACATTGCCTTTCATTTGCCACTTGCTTATCGGTAATTCACTTTGGACTCGAACAAGTGCCGGTCACCGTAATCAAATGGATACATTGCAGCCATCGCTCTTTCTGCTGGCCGAGCCAGACACACATCCCAATCGGAGTCGAGGGAAGGGGCTGGTTTTTCGCCCCAGTGACTTATTTGCTTAGCTCCAGATTCTGTTTCAGTTTCAACTTGAGCTCCCAGCTCCCCGCAAGCTCATTTGTAGTCACATTATCAATCGGTTTAAGTTGCATAATCAAATATGGTTGCAATTAGAAATTACCAGTTGTCATTGATAGCCGGCACAAAGTCGAGTGATTGGATTTGGATTTCCAGCAAATTGCTTTGATGAATATCTTGAGATTTAGGTAAAGCGGTGATTAAGTCTCGTAAACACATTAGTGAGAATGGGTTTAATGAGATGAAAGTGTACCAATGGATTGCAATTTCTATAACTAGTAACTTTTCACTTCCCAATCAACCTATTCGTTCCTTGAATTCCAAATCGAAGCTCCAACTATGAGCTAATTCCACCACATGTAGCCAACAAGTTGTTCTGGTTGATCGAATTCGATTTACTCTAGCTTGAAATCCGAGAGGGGGAAACACGACTCAAGGACTCAATCGTCCCGCTTTCCTTTCCTCTGCCTTGAAAACCAAAAACCAACACAGCAATTCAATTTTAAACGTTTAACTAACCATATTTCCTTATTATCGATTCTTTTTTCTGCTTCTGCTTTTCTGAAATGATGCGGCTCCTTTGCGACTCTGGCGATGATTCTCCTGCGTCTCTGGCTGCCTGGCCGGGATCCATTGTTGTTGCTGCTGTAATCAATGCCACTGTCACGGCAATTTGCACACACACAAAATGCAACACAACACACAACAACGAACAACGGACCACGGACAACCAACAACCAACAACTGCCAACAATGAACAATGGACCACGATGATAATGATGATGACAACGATGCTACAAACGACTTGGCATTGAACTGCCAATAACAACTACAACAATCGATGTGGAACCCTTGGTCACCATGAATGCTGATGATGCTGCCCTGGCTGCCGGCTGCTGGCTGCTGGCATCCTGCTTGCTATGCTCCGTTGTCCGTCCTGGGCAACTTTGAAACTCAGGCTTCGATGCAGCCAAGCACTGGCTCGCTGTGAGCTCCATCCTCCTGATAATTGGCGCTGCCAGTGTGGCCGTGCCACTGGCGCTACGTGTGGCGGCAAGTGAGTATCGCATTGAACCCAAACCTGGTAGCTGGCTCACCATCCGGCGATGGGATGCGAAATTGACTCAGACTCGGACACGGACATGGACCCGACCCGGACGCTCCTCCATGGACAATAAATCAATTACCATAACGCATACGCCATGTGGGCCGGCACTGAATCTCTGAGTTGGTGTCGGATGGGATGTTCAAACCGACACTTTCGCCCTTCGCCTATTAGCAAGCGGCTATCGGCATGCCCTTGCATGGGGAGTGGAAAATTTCTATTCAAAATTTGACTTAAAACAGAGTTACTATGAACATCTTTCACCTGACAAATCCCCTTTGCAGGTGCACCTTTCGAAGAGCGACTGCGGGTTGCCGTGCAGCTGCTGGATCAAGTGCCTTTAATCGACGGGCATAACGACCTACCCTGGAATATACGCAAGTTCCTGCACAACAAACTCAACGACTTCAAGTGAGCATCCATCGCATAGAAATGCAATTAAAATTTAATACCAATTTATGTTATTATCCCACCCCGCGTCCGCCCTACGCCTGCCCGCAGTTTTGATGAGGATTTGCGCAATGTAATGCCGTGGGGCCGCAGCCACTGGAGTCACACGGACCTCACGCGACTGAAGAAGGGACGCATATCAGCACAGGTAAGCTGGTTGGCCAGACGGCTGCCTCTTGGAATTATTATTAATGCAAGTGCCTTGGTATGAAACCATACCACACCCTGAATAGTCCTTACGTTTTAGTGTGGTACAGTACCATTTATTGTAGGGGTCTCCGCAGAGTATTCGCTCTTCTCCGTTTAGACAGACTTTTCATTCCCTTTTCATATTTTATCTGGCGGCAAGCCGTTGTCCAGGAAACGAGCGACTTTTGCTTTGAGTCTTCGCAAAGGCAAGAAAAATATTAATTACGGGCCACTCACGGAAGCTCAGCGTCAGGATGCTCCTGTAGCTGCCGGTGATGATGAGGTTCTTAATTATTTTTTGCCAGGCGACCGGCCGGCAGGTCGCGCAGGGTTCGGGCAGGATATCCACTTGACGCCGTTATTGATTCGCTTATGGCTCGATTACCAGCTGAATGGTGAGCTTTCTTTAAAGTGCCTCCGTGGGTGGAGGCTTGGAGGGCGATCAATTGATGCGAATGTCATTTAAACTGCCCAAATCGTTGAACTAATTGGGAGTAGACGCTCCTGCTTCGAGTGACGTGGCCCAAGCAACCAAGATTAATGAAGCAACTGGCCAGGAAACCTGGGAAATGTAGAAAGCGATTAACCTAAGATGGGTTCATAAATCAATAGGGAAACCCAAAACCACCTGAATATTTCAAATCGTCCAGAGAAAACTCATCCTCTAAAGCGGGAACCGCAAAGACAATTTTTCACGTTCGCCGCAAGCGGAAAAGGAAGAATCTGGACTGAGAAAAGCGAAAGCGGGCCACTTGCCACCTGCCTCGGCGGCCATAATGAAAATTAACTTTTCCAATGCATTTTACACCACCGGCGACTCCCGGCAGTGCCATAAATTTGGTTGCATTTTTGTGTGCGCCGTGCTTGTGTTGGGAGCTAACAGGTAACAGCTAACTGGTAACAGGTAATTGCCGTTTGCAGTTGCCAACTACAACAAACGTGGCCAAGTACCGCCACCGCACACTAAAATTATGCAGCACTCAATTTAATTACCCAGCCAAATGGCTTGGGTTCTGACTTTTGTAATCGCGAGAAACGGGAAGCGAACATGTGTAAACATCTACACAGAGAACAAATTCGATTTCTAAGGAAATGACATTAGAAAATGTTCATAGAGTGTTGGGATTAGCTTTCTACCAACCTCTTTTTTGGTTTCAGTGCAAAGGCATAGACTTGGCTGCTTTTATGGTGCAGTAAACGCGACGATTATTAAAACTTAACACTTTCAACAGCGGGCATGCACATCAAGGAAGCAAGCTCAGGGGCTTCAGGGGCAGAGCCTCGAACCTGCAGCCATGCAAGGAAAACTTCTTGATTTTCATGTTCGATGAGCGTGGCGAAGTTATTGCTGCAATTTCTGGTTGCCACGGTTGGCTAATTGAACTTGTTGACGCGGCTTCCTTTGCCAATTCCGGCAGACGTCAGCAGCCATGTGCAAAATATTGTGCAACTTCAGAAGCTGCAGTTAATTGTCAGTAGCTTTGGGGGAGGCACAACTAGCTCGTGCATCTTATTGAGGAGTGAGATATAACGACAGTCTTTATTAGTTTCTTCTGCAATGAATTTTTCTCACTGCTATGTTTCAACTTATCATATTAAAAAGTCACTTTTTCCTTGCCACATCGCCCACAATAGTTGTGACTTAATACAGCACTCACAACTCCGATTCGTAAACTTTGAAACCCTTCAATTACCGGCAAACAAGCTAACTCCATAAAGTGAGTGCTGACTGACTAACAACAGCTACGATCGGGGGAGCAGGATTACTAGCCAACAACGTGGTAACTAACTAGTTGACAACATGTTTCAGCAATTGTTTCCCAAAATGCCAAACGTGCAACGAATGCTCTTCAGGAAAACAAAAGCACAAAAAAGGCTCAGAAAAGCTCGCTTTAATAGGCATACCAGAAAATCACGTTTGGGCTGCCGACAGCTCACAGGCTTTCCAGGTTCGAAACATTTTTTAGCGGCCCAGGCTTTTCTCTTAAAGCCAACATCAGGGCCCAAGGCGGTGGCATGATGAGAAGTAACACTGGAAACAAAATTTTCCCAAGAGATACTGAACAAATTTTTATCGAGTCCTTTCTACATTCAATTTTCAATAGAATGAGGAAAGAAAATATTTTGCAAACACTTTGTGTTTATTTTTCAAAATGTAAGATATTTTTCCGACTCTGCAGGAGATGGGAGAACCCAGAGCAGGTAGCAACAATGTTGAAACATCATGAAGTCCCCGAAAGTTGGCTACTGTTTTGGGGCCAGGACACGGAAACGTCGTGTTACGCTTGTCCGGCTGCATGCTGTCTGCATTCTTCCTTTCCTCCGTACATCCTTGCAGCCCTATCTTCTCTGCTACTCTTTTTGCTTCTTCGTACACCCACAAAGCAGGAGTCAGCCTAATGGAACTGCACACAGAAGCAGTGAGAGGGGAGGAAGCTGCGAGTACAACGGACGCGCTTGCAGCGGAAATGGCCGCAAGGAGTCGAGGACGATGCTGTAATCTGGGCCAGGACATGCAGGACACAGCATTGCCTGGCTAACAGAATTCCGTGTTCCATTCTTACTCGTCCTGGGGCCTCATACTCTCGAAAGGGGTAATCAAACTACAATTAGAAACTTCTTACCGTCAAGGAAAGGGCTTCGATATTGGATGGTACACACCAAGAACTATAGTTCTCAAATGTTGAAAACCAGAGTTATAAGATTGTAACACCAACCCGTTGAAAGTATCTTATCGCAGCTTCCGTGTTTGTCCCTTGAGTGTTTTTATTTCCTCCTGGGGAACACCGCTTATCTTGCTGCAACGCTGCCCCAGAGATTTGCCCCAACAACGAGCAGGAAGGTAGACGTGAAAGCAGCCGCTGACCCGACGCCGGGGGCTAGCAGAAATGAACCCCAAACCACACAGATCTCCACACAATTTTTGTCTTACCGAGATGGCTCTGGTGTTTTATTTATTTTGTGCTTTCGGTGGATTTGTTTGGGGCTCATGCTCTACACCCCTAGTGGCATTCCTGCGGTCCTGGGAAGGTGTTGGAGTTGCGGCTTATGCAGCCAGCCGCAAGCTGCCCGTTCCACTTTGCATTTGCCCGGCCTCGGCCTCGGCCAGTAATTATGGTATGCATTGCAGCAGCGCCGCAAGGCAATCAAAAGGAAAGCTGCCCCAAGGCGGAAGCCATTTAAAATTCACAACAAACCTGCAGAACTGACACCGAAATGCTTAGAGTTCCGGCTCCGGAATGTTGATTAAAGGGTTTTACAAACTTGAATAAATTTATGAGTTGTTGTGCTAAACTTTAATTAAATGGCACATTAAAGGACATTACAATGCAGGACTCGAATCAATTATTCAAAGCTCGGGGCAATTGGAAATGGTCCTCGAATGGAAACTGTACCTTGGTTCGAATTTATTGGTATTTGAAAACATAAATCTCGCTGCTGGGCAACTTTTGGACACAGGTGTTGCTGCAATGTAGTTCCAATGTTGCACAAATATCGTTCGGAAACCCACAAATGAAAACGAGAATAAATGTTATTTAGTTCAAGGTATTAAAGTATAGAGAGCTATATTTACACTTAAAAGCAAACGAGAATGTTTACAAAATCGCTATAAATACTCTATAAAGTGGAATCCCTCCCCGGATAATCCTGCTTCTGCCCCGCAAAGCCCTAACACACTGACACATTAGGCAAGCACATTCACACGTGCCACACATTGACAAAAAATCACGCATATGGCCACCGCCACCGCAACAACAACGTCAGATTCACAATTAACTTGAAGCCGAAATGGTGTCCTTCAGGGAGATGTTCCCGGCGCTGTTGTTTTTGTGGCTGCCGGTGTTGTTGTTTGTCGGTCCTGCCACCAAACAACTTTAAATATTAATATGCTTTGTGCACAGGATGTGGGGCGGGTATGGAAATGGAGTGCTGGAATGGGGCGACGGGTAACGGGCTCGATGAGGCTGTCAGGACGGGCTCGGGGACACCAAACACCGAAGGCGACGCCATCGAGTCGCCGACGACACTTTGGCCACGATGATGACGATAATGATGGCACTGCAGGGGTCACAAAACCAGGTGTACGTGGGCGGAGCAGGGAACAGGGGCTAATGGCAAAGTGCCGTGCTTAAACACACTTGAAGGCGCCTCCGAAAGCCAAATACACAAAAGGCCACCCCAAGTCACAGGATCCAAGTTTCCGAGTCGAACCGAAAAGCATCCACACATTTACCCATGGCAGCTGCCAACAAACAAAGGTACTTGGCCATTCTAAAGTCATATGTGTGGAGGGGGCGGGGGCAAAGTGGCATAATACAACCTTCAACAGGTGCCGCAGGAGACTCGACATACATGAAATATTTTGATACAAAATATAATGCCAAAGCCGGAACTAAAATCTGCAAACAAATAAGAGAACCATTGCATTAATATTATGAATGGAAGATCGAATAATAACATTACGAATATGTTCCATCCAAGAATAATCCACAATCCATCCACACGCCCAGTAGACCTTTCTATAACTCGAAAGCAATTCGCGAAAAAAAATTGTAGCATACAATTAAGAGCTTTCCACAAATATCACGTATACGCCGCATGGAACCTGTTGTCCCAAATTTTAAGCGAACAGACATTCAAACATTTCCAACTCCATATTCCGTCTCCCGAAAAACACCTTTTAATTCCTAAAAATGTTTTAAGATGCTTTGGACAAAAAATAAATGAAACAACGACAGACTCGAAAAAAGGCACACGCGGAGCAAAAAAATGCAAAGTACGCGTGGAAAATAACGCGGAAAAAGAGACGGAAAAATGAGTGTCTTCCTCGCCGTCGCCCACTTTCCACAACCCACTCAGAATTTCCGGCTGCGGTAATGTCGGGGCATTTTCCTTATCTACCTGGCAAAATTCTCGCGAAGCCGCAGAAAGAAGTATTTGATGTAAATTGCTTTATTTGGGTTTTAACGCAGAGGCGGATGAAAAAGCAACCAGTTCTTTTGATCGATAAAAAAATAAAGGGTTGGCGGAGGGGAAGAACTTAAACAGATGAGTCTTAAGAAGACCTTAATAACTGTTAGTAGCTTGTAGATATTAAAGGGACTTGGTGAGAATCTCGTGTTGTTTAAAAAAACTTGCCTTCACTGAACTCTCATTCAGCACTTAAATTCGGTCACTTAATTAACGAGATACAGAACCCATGCAGCTTTTCTATCATATTTTTCAGAGATTTAAGCCCTGAAAGCAAACACAGCCATTAGCACGGTTATCAGTTATCTTAGCATTTCATTATTGCGCTGGGGAACCTGGTTTCCTGGACTACTGAATCCAGGGGCATAAATGTACGCAAATGGTAATGAACAGGACCACAGTTAGCACTGCATGGTCCATACAATTAACCCGAATTGAACTAATGCGCCCTGTACTCTGGCCACCTGATAAGCTGCAGCACACACTCCCCTCCCACGCCCTGTTGGGGTCATTTTCCAGGGCCAGGAGCAGAGCCAGGAGGGGGGGACCCTGGTGTGCATAAGTGAGATGCCTGAAAAACTCCACTAAAAATCAACACACTGGCAAAACCTGCTGTGCAGAGAGGGACAGGATAAACTTTTGGGGCCCAAATGGAATTTGCATTTGTCCCTGTTATTGTTCAGTGTTTATTTGGCAGAGCGATGTCGGGGGGAAAGGAAGAGAACAGGTGCCTGGGAATCCGCAAAATTTCCTCGTCTGTTGTGCAATTAAAATTGCAGAAATGCAGAGCCAACAACAGCGTTGACCCAAGCCCGAATCCAGGCCCCTGGGAGGTAGCTCTCAAATCCAATTGCAGCACGACCCCAACCTAACCCGGCGCCATTCCACCACCTCGTTCTGGCCCTGCTCGTAATTGTTTTTCTGTGACTCGTTTATTGAAAAGTTTTACATATTTCATATGCACATCTCCAAATTCGGCTAACCTGGGGAGCAAACCGAGTTTTCCTCCATGAATTGCGCCGAACTTTATCATCATCATCGTACGAGTCGGAGCAGAGGCATCAGAGCAAATGAACATTCGTTGTGATGCTTGTTTTGCTTTTAATTTACTGCCTCGGCAGAGAAATGGTTTAAAACTACGTGCTTAGCAGTGGGCAAAAAAAAAACAACAGAAATCCAAAAAATAAATAAATAACCGAGTCCTGGGCCAGTAGGGTGTGCTTTCCTGGCTTTTTCTTCCGGGTTTCTGGTTCAGGCCTCTCACGAATTTATATTAAAAATTATTTATTACGGGCATTCTTGCTTCCTGCTCCTTTTCACTGGAGTTGTTGTTTCTGCTGTTCGTACTTTTGTGTGTCCGGAGCAAAAAGCCAAAACTTTTTAATTGCTCTTTTTTCCGAATCGCTTTTTGCCACTTTCCAGCTCGTTCCTCATTCTGGCTTCTGTTCCATGGGGACACGTACGTGCTTTTATTTTCCTTTAATGATATAACGTGATGAAACTGTTTACCGTCTTGCGTTCCCCAACAATTGCATACCCTTTCAAAGGGTCTTTCTTTCTGCCAGCCTAGGGTACTGATCGAAAAATCGATCGAAAACTAATTTCCAATATTTTGATGAGCGCAGAGCTGGGAGCATTTTAAGGTATTGCATTCCGGGATCGGATAAATTGACCAAGATATGGACTTCGCAGTGAGTTATATTTTGACACCCCATGCCTCTTCCGGATTATCGCATATGGTCCAGAAAAATTTATGATAAATGCTCCAGGCTTAAGCAAAATCGATCTACTAAGTCCTTTAAGACATTTCGCTTATGAATATATAGAGAATGATGTAGACAGGAACTGCCTCGTAAAAAAGATAGAGTCTACAAGCGTGTGCCCTGAAAAATAGCCATTCTTCCTTAGTTTCCTCATTTATTTCAGAGCTCCCTTGATAAGTTTTTTTGGTTTGTAGTAGCTTGTTTATCACTCTTGGCAATAATGGCAATTAACAAAAACTTTCAAAACCCAAAAAAAAGATAATAAATCTTGAGGACTTACGAAAAACTTGGCTAGAAAAATACAGATAGTTTGGGTGCATTCTTACATTTAAGAATGGTTTAAAAACTTTATTAAAAAAATAATATATTAAAAACCTTCATATAATTTAGTCTAATGGCTTCGTTTTAATTTCAGTTCTGGGCCGCCTATGTCCCCTGTGAGGCGCAGCACCGCGATGCCGTGCAGCTGACTCTGGAACAGATTGATGTGATCAAGCGACTGACGGATCGCTACTCCCCGCAGCTCACCACCTGCACCTCCGCCCAGGGTAAGTAAACCAAAATATCGCACATACGCCGCGTGGGCTTGCCGCATTCCCAGGGAAACTCTGAGACGGAAAAGTATGCCGGGAACGGTTAAAATTCGAGCACTGCTCTTTTCTGCACTAGTTTTTTTCTACGCTATTTTCGGATTTTTTTTTTCACTTCTCCGGTTGTGCCGGAAACTTTGACTCGCGAGTCTTGGGCAAAAGTTGTTGAAAAGTATCTTGGCCGGCTACCAAAAAGCAGTTGCCGTTGCTGTTGCCGGAGTAGATGGCGGCCCTTGAGGCAGCTGCTTTTACCGCGTGCCATATTTTTGCACCATTTCCTTTGATACGCTGCTCACTCACCTAGTTGCCAGATTCTGGCGGAGAGGCCTCGTTTAAGCGAAAGGAAAACAGTTCATATTTCTTTGTGTGTCAGAGGGGGGACGGTGGGTGGTACAAAGGGCTAAAAGGGGGGGGCCAGCCACCAGGGGTCTTTACTTGCCAAATAACAGTCTGTGCACTCGGAAAAATATTCTTTGCGGCTCTAAGACTTGCAGCTCTGGATCTCCAAAAACTCTATCAGTTCCAAAACCTTAACTGCGTACACTTGTTCCTTCTTAATAATTCAGAAGAGTATCCTCAGAGCCATGATTTTTATACTTTGTGAGAAATATTATTAGAGTGTAGAACGCAGGCTGGTGCGAGGCAGAGCGCAACAGAGCAGCAGTTGCAAGTAGCAACTTTTGACTTATGCTCCGACTCCCCGGCTAGCATTTGAGTTTCCTTGTTGGTTTTCCGTTTTGCATTTTGATTTGCACTCACTTTGGTCTGGGGTCCTAGCAATATTTTAGTGTTGCAGCTGCACACACACACACACTTGGGGCGAGGGGCAAAAGGCTCAAGTACAAACAGGGAAAAAATGCAAGCAAACCAACAAATCGCTTCCGGCGTTTGCGTTGAAACATTTATGTAGCCGTAAATGGAAATGTCAATAAATCATGTCTAAGGAAAATCATCTGCGAAATAACAAGCAACGTGAAACAGGAAACTTTTAGTAAGAAATATTACTACACAATGTTCCCAAGCTCCGAATGATGGATGCAGGCCAGCGGTGCTCTTTTTGTGACCAGGCTGTGCATATTTTTGACAGGTGAGGGGGCAAGGAAACATGGACGGCTCTGTGGGAATCAAGGAGTGAGCCATTCGGCAATCTTCTTGATGGACAGGATTTTTTCAACGTCTCTGCTGTAGTCAGCAGAAAATGTATCTCTTAATTGATGCGTGCTTCTTGTTTGTGTTTCTTTTCCGAGAAAATTGGATCGAGTGAGGCGAGTAAAGTCGCAAATTGAGCAATAAATTTGATTAAAATTGTAGAAATAGACAAACGATGAAGGAGCTCAGCAGACCGATAGATTGGTTCTAAGTGAGGGAATTATTTTCATTAAAAAGTTATCTTTGAATCACTCCGGTATGGAAAATCTATGATGAGCCATCCGGCACTTGCCAAATAAATTTCCAATCATGGCAAAGCGAATCCTCATACAAAGTCCTCTTTGAGCCGGGCTGTAAACAAGGCGGGAATCAAAGGCCGGCCAGAAATCAAACCCAATCCAGGAACACGAAACTGACCTACCTCGATGCAAGTAAAGTACCAAAATAAAAAGGAAAGCCCTATAAAGAACCTCCCCTCCGCCTGTGCCCTTAGCTTCTTGTGAAATCCCAGCTGCCGCAACATAAAATAAAACCCAGCATTTTATTTTAACTACTGCAAATAAATTCAGTTGAAATTGTTGTTCGCTCTCGCTCTCACATGTCGTGTAAATAAAATGCGAATCCAAGTGACTATTGAGCAAATGCAGCAGGGCGTGCTGTTCCCACTGCCCCCACTACCAACCGAACTGGCTTCTTGTATTCCTTTGGCCCTAGCACGGTCCTGCTCGGGAGCTCCTAGCTGCCAAAGTGATTGTAAAAAATGCAAACCTAACGAACCGAAACACAACGCGACGAGTGACGGGCCACGTCACTCAGTCCCCTCCGGAATGCGATTCCAAATCCAGATCCAGGTCCGACTTCGAGTTCCTGTCCGATTTGAAGTCCAGCACTACACTGGAACTAAATAAAGGCATACAAGTCCTTTAAATTTGTAAAATAGCTTTAGATTCTAGACTAGAATTTTCAGAAAAATAAATTTTAAACTCTGAAAAAAATGCTTTAGAAAACTCCCTTTCTTCAAGTGCACCTTATGCAACGAAACAAATGGGTGTTCCATAAACACAACAGAACAGCCGTATGTAGAAACTGGCGCATGTCCTTGTGGCAGTGTCCTTTTCGCCTGTCACCTGCCAGCAGCCAGTAGGAGCTACTTTACATTTGGCACTCCCGATGTGCGAATCGTTTTTATTTGAAATTTTCAATTTTCACCTTCAAAGGAGTAAACTCCAATTTACACTGCTCCACCGCAGTCTGAAGAGCAAGGACTGGAAGTACCCGCTCGAGAAAAAGGATATTGGGAAAATTGCATTCTGCTGCAGCGGAAAGAAAAATAAGGACGCAATTCTCTCAAAAGAAGTGGGTATGCCACTTTGGGTTTTAATTAAGGTTGAGGCTCATCTGATATTGGAATATTATGTGGCTTTGTATAAAATCCCTCTGTATGACAGTTTATCTTTGGAAAAAGACTTACTCATATTCATATTCACTTTATTTCTTACGACTCTTACTCCACATTATTAAAGGAGCTGTAAATTGCGTAAATTTCTATCGAAAAACTTAGAACCCATCCAATGTTCCATTTGTTTGGTACCTCCAGGGTATCTAAGCTGCAACTAAAATCATCCCGAAGCCTCGGCCGGGGCCTTCATAGTTTCCCTTTTGTGTTGCTGCTGTTGCCATTGCTTTTGGTTTATTGCGTCAAGTGGCATTTGGCTGGGATTTCATTTTGAAATGTATTGGAGCTTTCCCGGCTGCGTGTGTGTGAGTTTGAGGGCTGGGGGGTGGTTCCTGGGTGAGCATTGCCTCAATTCGCATCCGATACAGGGGCCATCTATTATACATTACGGCCCTGGTCACCAGAAATCGAACCCCGAGCACCAGTCACAGTCACAGTCACAGACAATTACATGCAGCAGGAAAAGAGTCAAAGCCCTGGATACAGAATTGAACTTCAGCTCACGTGGAGCATTTTAGTGCCTTCGGTTTGCCTTTACGTCCTGCCAAGGATTGCTCGCTGTTGGTATTGGTATTGGTCCTGGTACATTTGTTTATTTGCTCCATATTTTAGGGTTTTACGACGTTTCCGACATGGACCAGGTTCTTGTGGCAGGTATTTTGGGTTCAGCCAACAATGCACAGAAAAGCAAAGGTAGAACAGGAGAAGTGCACTGGAGAAAAATGCTATTTTTCAGATATTTATATCTGAAACTATATTTGTCAAATATGCAGGACAGAGTGTTCTAATCAGTATTATGAGTTTTTAACATTTTCATAAAGTGTGCTTGGCATGAGGCAAGATTAGATAGTTTTTGCTTAGTGCAGCCAATATGAAACAACTTCGTGAACAATTCTCGTTTCCCTCCATGGTTGCTTTTGATTTTGCACAGCTTATTTGCTTATAGCCATGAAAACCTGGCCAGACCTGTGTCTTGAGTCCTTTTCCTGTTGCCAGTTTCCAGCTCCCCAGCCCGGCAACCCGCAGCGGCGAGTAATGCCTTTTGCCCTTCGTTATGTGGGAGAATTTATTAACCCGCCTTCCGTTTGCCTTTTCGGTGCGGACTTCTGTGAATGTGCGGGGGCGACACATTGGGCACGTTATCAAAATTGGGCACACAAATGCCTGATTTGAATAGCTGGGACCCTCGGCGAAGGGTTCCCAGAACAAGGTTCCCCAATTAGTTGCAGATAAATCGAATGGCAGTGCTCGTTGCTCACTTTTATTGATTGACAAATCCATTTAAGTTGAGTTCTCGGCCATACCAATCAATTAAAATGAGAAGCTTACAAATAACATAAACAAATTGGAATGCTTTCGAACAAAACCGAAACTAGACAGCAATAAAATAAACAAGTAAGCATGTTAATGAAAGTAGGAAACTAAAACCATACCTCAGTTATGCGCAATTCATTTGAAAATCATTAAAACTTTGCCTCCGACCATTCAACGCCACTCCACTGGGTTGCATGACACGTTGCATGGGCTTGGCTGACTTAAAACAATGATAATGAATGAATGAACAGAAGTACAAGTATTTTGACAAGTGCCCTCAAGTTGGCAGAGAATAAAATGACAAGAAACAGATCAAAGCTCCAGAGGCCAAGACAAGCGTGAATATTGCATGGCGTAGCGAAATGTTTGGTTTGTTGGCAGGGATAAACTGACAGTGGGAGGGCGGAGCGGACTACTACAAAGGGCACTCCAAGTACCGAGTCCATGGACCAAATACCCACCGCACTGCACCGAGCACTGAGCCCTGAATGGGGGCAGGCAAGCAAGTGACAGCAAATGCCACAGAACAACAATTGTTACTTTTGGCCAAAAAAACAATGCCAGCTTTGAAGTCGAAGTTTGCTGCTCGGCCACAACAGAACACAAAGACCCTAAAAACATTTGAACAATCTATATGGGAAAAAGTGGAAAATGGCATTATATTATCATTTAATTCGTAATATTCTCGTTGGCCTCCCATACGCATGCTGACTTTAGTAACCTTTGTACTTGTTTTGAAACATTAATCCACGTTTAGATGTTTAATCTGTTTTCTCGCTCTATCTAATTCCCTGCAGACATAATCGAGGCACACAAGAACCAGCAACTTTGCTCCCTCACCGGAGTCGAGGGCGGCCACTCGCTGGGTGGCTCCTTGGCGGTGCTGCGGACTCTCTACGCCATCGGCGTGCGGTACATGACGCTGACCTCCACCTGCCACACCCCGTGGGCGGACTCGAGCTACGCGGACGCTCCGACCTTCAACATGAAGCACGGAGGCCTCACCATATTCGGCAAGGTAAGTACTCATCCGCTATTTGCCATTCGCCATCCGCCTCTTTTCGCTGCCACAGCTGATTTAATGCTAATTAGTTGAACGGTCCTTGGCCGAGGGTTGCTGTCCTTTGTGGGGGCTTACATGGGGATTTGGGCGCTGATGAGGCGTCCTGTCACCCGACCTCCTTGGGCTTCTTGGGAATTCATTGTGCGGGAAAGCACGGTCAACCGCAGTCAACGCTTTGTTGGCTTAGCCATAAACATGTGACCTGCGAGAAAGGGGCGGGGCGAATGCACAGAGATTTAATTTCCCAGGTATTAATAGTAAGCAGTGTCTTGAAAGATCCCCGTTTTCCTCAGTGTGCCAGAATGACAATGTGTATAGACTGTGTCGGGGTAGTTATGTACTTAAGTGCCCCTTCTGCGGAGCTGGCAGGGGTCGGATGGCGGTCGAGGATCTGCTCGCACCTTGTGCCCTCTAATGGCTCAACAGTTCGCAAATTAGGTGCCTACTACAGTTTACAATTGCCAAGCGGCTTTGCTGCGGGATTTTCGTGTGACCCGACCAACCGACCGGATCATATATATTAAATTAGGCCCACCGACTGCACCAACCGCCGACGCCATGGCGGCCACTCGATTCCTGTGACCAGAAGCACAAGGATTTAATGGGACGTGGGCTGCGGCTCCTTGAGGATGCTTGAATCCATTATGGATTTTCGCTAAACAGAATCCGGGAGTGGGGCCATCGATTTCATGGTTAGCTGCTAATTGGGTGTATGCAAATAGGCCTGCCTAACAGTAGGGGGAGATGGGCCAGTTTATATCGATTTCATGCCGGGGCAGCCATGGAACCAAATTTATGAAAACTGGTGGACACTGCTGTAAAAAGACCCAATATAACTACTTATATTATAGCTTGTATTATGACTAAGAGCACATAATTCTGTCATCAATTATTTCCTCTGAACTTGAATTTCCTTCCACCCATTTCTGGGCTCTCAATCAAGTTGAGGTCATCAAACCTAATGATGTCAAGCATCAAGGCGAGATGACAATCAAATTTTAATCAAAATTCACCCTGTGCAGTCAGTCAGTGCCCACAAAACCTACTTGGATGTAAGCATCTTGTACTTATTTTTACTTGAGTGTTCTTTTTTTGTACTCGTGTCGGATTCGCGTGTAATTATTTTGAAATTCGAAATTTCTCGGGCACCTCGAACCCCAATGAGGGGGCTCTAACACACCGAAGCGAATAGCTATTTGTTGTTGAATTCGTTGTTCTTGATGGCGGTTCTTGACGGGCCTCCGCTTCCTCTTTTCCGTGGGCTAGTGCCAAGTGCTATTTGCAGTGAGACTGCCAAAGTGCATGCGGAAATAAAATTTGCAAAAATGTGCATAGCAAACAAACCACACACACACACGTCCTCAAAACCAAAATAAAACAAATGTTTATAAAAATAAAAAGACGACGCACAGAAGCGTAACAAAAACAATGGGAGCGAAAACATCAACAAACCATCACAGCTGGTCGGCTGTGAGGTGGGGGCTGGGAGCAGGGAGCAGGAAATGTAAATTACTGAGGCCGCAATATTTTCCTTTCGATTATTTATGCATAAAAATGATATATTTCGGCGTGTTTGCTTTCGCTTTTCCGCTGACCGGAGAGCTCTGCCAATTAAATATGGAAAACAAAATCCGAACGAACGCAGAGCGACGTCACTTCCTCATTTAACCTGCGGAATTTTCAATTACACATCTCACAACAATAGGCAGCGGACCCGAAAGTGAAAAGTGAAAAACTCGGAAAAGCCGAAAAGCGCAGGCGCCATGAGAGCTTCCTAGCTAGAGCGAGTGGAAGCTACCAAGAGAGGAATGCCATCAATGTGGTGTTGGTAAATGGAAAATTTCGCCCCACTTGAAATGAGCAGGCAAAGGCAATTCGGAATTTTCATTCATACTATAAGTTGAACTGCACACTGAATGGAAAGTGATTGGAAAGAACATTAAACTGAAAATTAAAAAATTCTAATTGTAACGTGAATTTATTCCATCCAGCTTTAAAGAACAGGACTTCCTTAATTCGAATTTAAAAAGTTCACTTTCATCTAAAAGCACAAAGTTAAAATGACTGTAGTTTCATACCTTATCCTTTAGGATCATCCATTATTCTTTTATCTAATTCTAATCTAATGGCAAGATTAATCCTCACTTTTGGAATAGCCACCACACTGTGGCCACTTAGCGCTGTCCGCCCGCGCTGCCTAAAAATACCCGCCCCACCGCCGTCACCCATCCAGTGGCGCCAGTCACATGGGCAGCCAACATGGGGAAAGCTCTCTTCGCGCTCTCGCTGCTTTTCCTCGGGCTCTCGTTGGAGCTCTTTGCTCTCGGTGCAAATTTCCCAGCTGCCCGTGGTTGGAAACTGCTGTAGTTTTCCGAGGGAATCGACTCTTTGGGGCCGCAGTTTCAGTCGCCGAGCGAGTTCGCCCCATCGAGGAGGCAGCTGCTGAAAATCCCGTCCGCGGTTGTCGAGTGAATGGAATCGAATCGAACCGAGCGAGCAGCAACCACATCAGAGAGCAGGAGAAGGGAAAGCCAAGAAAAATACGAATATACACAAAATAACGCCAGCAGCCAGAGTCTCTACACGAAATTCTTTTTATAACAAAACCAATCGCGCTCCGCATCGCAACGCACATAAGCCAACTGAAAAGGTGAACAAATTAGCTAACAGATTAGACTTACTAACCCCGCAGTGTTTGGAATGCAATATGTAACACGTACTAACCCGCAACGCAGAAGGCAATCCCAATTGCACAAACAATGAGGAGGCAAGTGGGCTCTAACTAATCGACTACTTCCTCTTCTATACGAAAAACCAAAAAAATAAAACACAACAACGACGACGACGACGACGGCGACGACGACACTTTCTGGCATCGTGATTTGATGATGACAACGCAGCAGCTTGTAGGAAAACCCGAAGCAGCAGCGGAAAACGAGGAAAAGCCACCAGCAGAAGGAGGAAACATGACGGCGGCCACTGGGAGCGGGGGCGGCAGTGGGGCCGGAGGAGGCAAGGCTGGGAAGCACAGGTCGAGGTCATCCGCCCGCTATGACGACGTGGAGAAGCAGCAGCGCAAGAGCCGCGGCATAGTCTCCATTCCCAACACAATAAAGCTAAGTATGCTCAATAGCGGCCTGCTGTCCTTCGAAAGGATCAAGCTGGAGGCCCGGGACGAGAACAATTCCCTCTCCAAGACCATACCCAATGGACCCATCGACATACGGCACTTCCTGAAGCTGTGCGACCTGCGGCGCAAGTTCCCGGTGCTCTACAAGCTAGAGTTCCAAACGGCCGCCAAGGTGGAGACGAACACCTGTCGGCATGCGATGAAGAAGAATAACCAGGAGAAGAACCAGAACCCGAAGTGCATTCCCTACGACTACAACCGCGTAGTGCTGGAAAAGGTAGGTGGCCTCCAGGACTCGGACTACGTAAACGCCTCCTATGTTGATAGCTTGCTCAAGCCGAACGCCTACATCGTGACCCAGGGTCCCGTGGAGGAGACGGTCCAGGCCTACTGGCGGATGGTGTGGCAAGAGAACATCAGCGCCATAGTGATGCTCACCAAGACCTTCGACTTCGCCAAGGTGATGTGCCACCAGTACTGGCCCCCGAACATGGAGGTGCACGAGCAGTACGGTGACATCTACATCAACATCGTGCGCGAGGAGCAGCTGGCCAACTTTCACATCCGCACCTTCCGTCTCTACAAGATGAACGAGAAGCAGGAGGTGACCGACGAGCGCCTGATCCTGCAGTTCCACTACACGGAGTGGTACTCTCACTCGTGCCCCTTCTCGAACGCCCTCCTGGAGTTCCGGCGGAGGGTGCGACTCGTGGTGGGCAACATCATCAAGGACGGCGACGACATGCGCGGACCCATCCTGGTGCACTGCAGCGACGGCGGCGGCCGGTCAGGTGTCTACATGTCCATCGACGCCAACCTGGAGCTGGCCGAGGAGGAGGAGTGCTTCAACGTGTTTGGCTACCTCAAGAAGCTGCGGCAATCCCGCAAGGGCCTGGTGGAGAACGTGGAGCAATACAAGTTCATCTACGACACCCTAGAGGAGCACATCATATGCGGCAAGACCTGGTTTCCCGTCTCTGAGCTGTCCGACCGCCTGAAGGCCAAGGCCCGCCGCAACTCCGGGACCAAGATGAACGAGTACCAGGCGGAGTACGACCAGATCTGCAAGCAGACCCCGCGCTTTACCATCGGCGACTGCGCCGGCGGCCATCGTGCGGACAATCGGGAGAAGAACCGGGACGTCCTCTGCGTGCCACCCGACAACTTCCGGCCCTACCTGACATCCTTCCAGGGAAATGCCTTCACGGACTACATCAACTCGGTGTTCGTGGACGGATACACTAAGCCGCGAGAGTACATCGTCACCGAGTGGCCCATGAAGCACACCCTGGGCGAGTTCTGGTCGCTGGTTTACGACCAGGAGTGCTCGGCCGTGGTAGTCCTGTGCCAGCCACCCTCGCAGTCGCAGCAGTACCCCTCGTTCTGGCCGAACAAGTCCAAGATGGAGAAGTATGGACCCGTCTTCTCCGTTCACTACGCCATGTCCAAGAGCTACACGAACATCAAGCAGTGGGAGTTCAAGATCAACAAGAAGATCGTCTCGCTTACCGAGATGATGGCGGGGGTGAAGGCCCCCACGCGAACCGTCCAACTCTTCCAGCTGACATGCTGGCCGATGGGCCACAAGGTGCCCACCTCCACAAACTCGCTGGTCTACCTGATGAACATGGTCGAGATCTGGCGGAACAAGGTCGACTACGGACCCGTGTGCGTTGTCTCGCCCGATGGTCGCAGTCGGGCCGGTGTTTACTGTGCCGCGAATGCGTGCATCGAGCAGGTCATCCAGCACGGCGAGGTCGATGTCTTCCAGGCGGTGAAGACTGTGCGCCGGCACCGTCCCCAGCTGGTGGAGAACATGACCGAGTACAAGTACTGCTACGACCTGGTCCTGCACTATGTCCTGCACTTCCTCAACAAGAAGGAGTGAGTCGGAATGGAGTTTTGGTGTTTTTGGTGTTATTTTGTGGCGCCGTGCTTATGGTTAACATTGATCCGAATACTTGTGGTCCATACACTTGATGATGCCCAGGGGATTGTCCGGGCACCGCCTTAAAGCAATAATACTGAGTATTTTTGTTGTCCACACACACAAGCCAAGGAGGAAACTGAGGATTTTTTTGGTTGAGGCGTCGAAATGAAATTTCGCGCTCTGTAGGAACTTTTTACTTGTTTCTTGTCCATGGAACGAAACGAAAACTATTATACCGTACACTTTATAAGCTTATTGATCTGAAATGTATGTGCCATTTGTAACCCTAGTTGTTGTTGTTATAAACAGAGAAGGATACGAGGATTGTGATGAGAGATGTAGGGTGTAAGGAGTGAGGGAATCAAAATCAAAAGGATAGGAAGGAACACTTTTACGATTACAATTTATATACTTATCCGTAGTGATTATTACGTTTACTCTTAAAACTTGCTACCTGGGCAATTGTTGATATACATACATATATCCTACCATACCTACTACGAATCTATTTATACATGTAAAGATATATATATCAATGTTACGTACTGTTGTAATGGGAATCGCATTGTGTTTCCACAACTTGACAGAACTTTATTTTATATTCATGTTGAAGAACAAATATTTATTGAAACACGACCGAGAGTGGGGGGCTTCGCGGTGGAGCCTAAGTAGCTATAATTTTAAATTGTTTATTTACGGAGAACACACACACACACACACACACATTGCATACAAGGACAATCACGAGCATACAAGAATACTAATTAAATGATTTTATCATGATTTCCTGTATTTTCGCATTTATGCATTCGAAACACGACCTACCTACATATACATTGTTGTACTCTAATTAAATAATTTTTAAAATGTGTGTAACGTGCGTACCATGTCCGTTTGATCCTTTGTAAAAGCCAATCTCAACGTGTAGCCACACTGCACAAAAATCGTATTGGAAAGGCCCCACGAGGGCCAAGAAAAAAATAAGAAACGAATTGAAAATATATCGAAATGTGTGTTTTATTTCAAGGGTTGGGATCTGAATCAGATCGAATATTTTACACATTCTTCTTGAGTTGTTTACCCAATATATCAGCCCCTTGGGTAATCAATTTTGAAATGAAACGGATGATCTCGTTGCTCCAAGACTTGCGGGCTCTAGAACAGACCATTTAAAGAGAACAAATACTACAAAACCATATAAACCTTGACCAGATTACAGTTTAATGCGTGCAAATCAAACAGAGGCGTTGTCCATATAGATACTGCCATTCGATAAGGCTGGCTGTGGGAAGGGGCGGAGTGCCATTGCCATTGCCAGTGCCATGGCTGGAGGGGCCGAAAGGTGCGGTCGCTATAAAATCGATAAATGACAACACACTTTGCTTTAGTCGGCAATAAAAGCAACAGCAATAATAGTAAAACTTCGTGGCGCGCAATGACATCAGCGGGAAAATCGGGAAACGCAGCCACAGGGACAGCCGGAGCGACAGCCAGGGAAAAATCCGCAATATGAAATTGAAAAATTGTGTAAAAACCGAACGGAGCGCAGCGATTTAAGCGCAAAACGAAAATCAACCTGACTGGCAAAAGTTTTCCATATTATTTATATGGCATTTGCGTTGTTTTTTTTCTCCCTGGAATTGTTTGCCATTGTTTTTGCGCTTTAATTGGCAAACTCATGCAGCGCCGAATTTGTTGCCACTCGTGGGCAACTGCGGAGGGCAGGGAGGCTCCTGGTTCTGGGGCCAAATTTTATGCCAGACAAATAAACCAATTAGATTTTTGTGTTTTTGGAAATTTATCTTTACGAGCTATTAATACAAAAGCCAGCGCGTGGCGACGCACACAGCAACACGGACGCAACAAAAGCCAGCTGCAGGAGGGACCGCCGGGGACGAAGTTTAGTTTTAGTTAATTAAAAAGTCAGTGGCAATTAATTTGGGGGCTCTGCCAGAAATTTATGGCGCGCACATAAAGTTATGAAAGTGAATCAAAGTGGATTGGCGAAATTGGAATTTGTATAGGGGCCATGTTTCCGGAAGCTGAAGTGGCAACTGATGCTGGAATGTATAGACTTCTGGGTCCTCAAAGTATAGTATTCTCTCTCAGTAATCAATTGTCGAGTTGTTCTTAATAAAATGTTAACGATCACCTGGGCCTGTCCTGGGCTACCATAGTGGGGTTTCTGGTTGTGGCCACATTTCAGCTCGGGCATGGCAATACTAAATCACAGTTTTAATGGACGCCTTTGTGTGGGGAGTGGGTGTTGTTTTCTTGAACCTCCTTAGTTGTTAGCACACATGTTTACCATAAGCCCAGCCAGTCAACTTGGTGCCAACAAACCAAATGGCAGCTGCATAGACCTGACATGACAAGCCGCCCCTTTCTCCCCCGCCGCCGTGTGTGGGACAATAGACATTAGGCAAAAGCCAAAAGCAAACACATACAGACATGGCATTTCTATATACAGAGTCTAGCTTATATCCTGATGCAAGTCAGTCCCTTGGACTCCAGGAGCGACCATTTCAATTTGTCAGTCATCAGCAGACCAAGTGCAGTGTGTGTCGGTCTGTCCCGAAACTATTTGTATTGTGTGCATGTCAAAGTCGTCGTGTTAACATTAATTAAATCTATAGCCTGACACGCACAATGCTGCACATCCCATGGCCATTGTCTTCGGAAGGCAGGGGGCCTTGAATTATTGGTTTTGATTCGAAATTTTTCCCATATCGCCGCTGGGAGTTTGTACGTGTGTACATGCATTTGTCGCAGGCGTTTTAAATATTAAAGGCAAGGCATTAAGCAAATACGCATTTATGGGTGGCTTTTGTTTTAATTGCAAATTGTCACCGACCAATTGGCACGCTGAAAAGTATGCTAAGCCCCTAGAGGGAAGACAGTTTCTATTCGCTGCATTCCGAAGTGTTGGCTTGTTTGTTTATTTTTGTTAGAAACATGGAGTGGAGTGACTTTAGGCCCCAGAGACGGGTTTTAGAATTAATTATAAAGAAAAGGAAGAGAAAAGTTGATGTCTTTTGATCAAAAATCACACCTCTGTCCTATGTTATACAAATAAAGGCATTAAACTCTATCGATCTTATCGAATGGTTTCTCATTTTAAACCCATCCCGAGATAGCTCATTAAAAAATAATTGAAACCGAAACGGGCAATGGGAAAACAATGCCTAGAGGCATATGGAGAGGCACAAAAGGCATCCGTTTAATTATTTAAATTTAATTTCATGTCATATCAAATTAGTGCCACTCATTTTCACTCCGAGCACGTGGAACAGCAGAGGCCGACACACATATTCCATCTGTGGGTGTGTTTGTCTGAAAGGCCAAAGGCCAACACTTTTTAACTCATTTCCATTACGTGCCCGACCCGTTGGCTGGTTCCTGCACTCCTCCGCTGCGCCTTGCCAGCGCAAATAAATGGTAAAATGCTTTTGCATTATGCTGCCATCATATTATTATTATTCTTATTATAAACTCGTTTCGAGCGACCGGGTAGGCGCATCAGCAGCCGGAGTAGAAGGAGCTGGAAATTGTGTGCATACAGGTGTGTAATAGGCATCACTGCAACTGCACCCCAACGGTTCAAACGCACGTAGACGGTGCAAATTGAATTAGCTAAAGAACGACCCACAACCAGGGCCAGAACAATGCCAGGAATGGCTCAAACAATGGCTAATAATGCAATCTGCATTTCTAGGGGAAACACCAAGTAGCAGGAATGCCAGAAATTCAAGCAAAGAATTGAGTTCTGCATTTCGGATGATGGAGAATAAAGAAAAAGGCCCGCACTGAATTTTAATTACTTTAATCAATGGCCCATTTCGGTTTTGTGTAATGATATGGCATGGTCCCGACCACACAGAAATTAATTATTTTAAAATCAGCATTTTCTGTCACAGAAATCATTTGTATGGTGCGTGCTCCACACTTCTGCCTGAATGCATTGATTGGCGATTTGTTATTTATTCATTTCGATCGACCAAATAATTTCAAATCAACAATTATAATCAAATATTTATTGATTCGCATAATGGCGTTCGCCGAGCCGCCATCAATAACCCAAATTGCAATGCAAAAACTTGGCCAGCATAGGTATAATTGTCGAAACCGCACAAATAGAGACTCTACAGAGTGCATAATTAAATTATGAATATTAGTAACTAAATATGATGCTTGCATCGTTTCAACTAGTCCTTCCATTATGAAGTAACCACATAATGACGTAAAAATGTGCAAATCGGTTGAGGACTCTTCCCGTCCTGGCCTCTCGGCAGACAAAACTACACTCTAAGCTCTGAAATATTTAATTAAATATTAAACTATAATTTGATTATTTTACACGTAAAGTTTTCAAGTTGCCGGGGCGTTGCAGAAATTGTTAATGACATTTAGGTAGACAAAGGCCGGGGCGACGTGGAGGAGAGGGCGTGGCAGTAAAACTTTCTCCACTCTCCGCTATCAAAACTTTTTTGCGGCTTAGGGTGTGCGTGTGTGCCAGCACACACTGCTGGGCGAAATGCACAAAAACATAATTAAATACATAATGAACAAGGACCAAACAAAAAATAAACAGCGGCCTGAGTTTTGAGTTGAGTTCAGTTAGCTGCATATCAAATGAGTCTCATATGGGTGGGGTTTTGTATACTAAATACAGTGTGTATGTGTGTGCCTCGGCATACAAAAAGCTTTACAAAATTTGTTCAACAACCGAGCAGAGGAAGCTCATTATGAGAGAATAACAAAGGCTGCGAATGTTCATTTTGTTGTGCCGCAGTGGAAATGCATCTGAAATGTATTCTTTGCTGCTCGAAACTAACTGGGAAACAAAAGATGTTTTGTTTGGTGTCAGGAGAAGTGTTGGCTGCGTTTGAGGCACAAAGGCGGCTAATTAAATTCAACTTGAATTAGCTTCTAAATGGTACGCATAACACTCGAATGTAATGGCAATAAAAACTTGAATAATTTCTCAGAACCCAGAACTCTGAAGTTCATAAGTCCAAAGTCTCCCCCTTCATCATCCGACTTTTGAGCTGAGATTCGGCCCAGAATCCTCCACTAATCACACTGGCTACAAATCCTGGCCTTGTGTCAGTTCCCACTATCCATCATCATCAGACAGCTGGCCAGATGCATGAATATTTCAGGCGGGATCCCAAGGAGTCGGCAGATCCTGCTCGCCCACTTAATTAAAATTGCAAGACTTGGCCCGGAGGCTTCCTTCTTGTCCTAAATTACCAGCATGCCGGCCCCACTATTGTTGCTGCCACTCCACAGTACAGACTGCCGTATGGAAGGCACTTTTCGAATTTAATTGAAAGTTATTGTATTGGTACTTGGCCAAAAACACAGTCGGTCATGCCAGTCGGCAAGAGACTCATCCTTGCATGTAAATCAAATCAAAGTAATGAGCTTTAATTGTATTCAATTATACTTGCCCCCTGGCTCGGAGGATGCATCATTGTTGCTGGTTATCAATGCCTGCATCCGCCAAAGAGGCTTTCCAAACTGAATCTGTTTCAGACCGAGCATCAGGATGTTTACTTTACCCATTGACAAGTAGCTTAAAGCCATTGTATTAGCCATTTGATTTGACCACTACGTTCAATGGGCAATCACGAAACACTGATTTTGAAGTGGGAATATGAGCCTGTTTTGCCAGTGGAGCTGCAGTGCAGATTGCCATTCAAGAGGTCCAGAAAAATTCAAAATTTTCGCAACTCAGTTAGCCAGGCCGGCAAAGGACAAACCCCACCCATAACCCGATTCTACTCTAATGGAAATTACGAAAAAGAACCAACGGAACGACGGCAAACGTCAAAGGAAAGCCAACGGATGGTTTGCAGCAAAATTTAAATGAAACATATCGCGGATCAAAAACCAACCGTGAAAAACCAGATGGAAGAGCAGCACACTCGCACACCCACGTCTGGCCGACACACACAACTAAATAGGTACGCATGGGTGTGTGTGGGGACACGCATACAT